AATGCCATGTTCACTGAGTCAGAAATGAGTTCACTCCCAGCTCAGCATATGCTCAGTCCTTTCCCTTGCCTTTGCCTCCTTACACAAAATGGCTTTCATTTGGCTCTAGGGAGCTAACTAGGCTGTGAAATCCACCCTGTTCTTGCACTGCCCATCTGGAAGCTGTTGCTCTGTTTCTTCTCCTGGTCAAATCAAACAGACCAGCAGGATGGACAGTTCTTTGAGTTCACTTCCCAAGCTCCCAGTGAAAGTCCTTTCCCACCTTTTTGCTGGTGGAGTTCTGGCTGCTGATGGAGTTCAGATTGCTCTTTGCTGAATGCCGCTGGAATATCAGTCACTGCAACATCACACCATTGTTTTCGTTGCTTTCCTGTTTCTGACAGTCTCCAGGTACCCCCCCCCCCGCTGTTGTTCTGTCCTCTCCTATTTCCTGGAATGTGTCCTCTCTGCTTCATCCTTATTAAATGTTTTCCATCCATTTAAACATGTCCTTGCCCTATTCTGTCATCTTGATTCCCCAATCCCATTATATAAAGAGTTCTCAAAGAAGATGACTCACAAAGAAATACTATAGAATTTCTCCTAGTTAAACTGTTCTATAACAGGACACTCACACAGGTATGCTCTCTTGAGGTCTTGAATGCTCGTGAGGAAAAGGAATGAAGAGAACAAAAAAAGCAAGCAGCATGCAAAGAAGTACTGCTATATACTCAGCATTTTATCTATGGAATACAGAAAATCTGTCATTTTTATATTAGTAAAAACCTATGGCAAAAAGAATAAAAGGCCCAGCATGAAAATGGGGAAAACATAAAGTTAAAGGTACATAGTAACACATTATCCCAGTGTATACAGAATACTGATGACAGCACAAGCTTGCATCATGAGTTTGTGTGCTATGAAGGTATTGCCACTATAGACAATAAATTAACAACTTTCTTGGTTGAACTGAATTAATACAACTCCCTCCCAAGACCAGAATTTTTGTAATGCAGGAATTCTTACATTAGCTTCCCTTTCCTCAGGTACAGCTAGGTTCACAAACCTGGGGGAATACAGACAACAGGAGCAATTTGGTATTGAAGTGGAACAACAAATAACTGACACACGGTGGAACAACACATCTATGTAAATTCTAATGAACCGAATGAATGCTCATATCAGTGTGAGGGTTAAACATCTGAGTATACCTAAGAGATAAAGTCACGTTGAGTAAAGTTCAGTATTTGTGAAACTGTCAGAGGAATTATTCATTTCCTGTCACCTAACCTTGGCTCTGTTACCTAATTTGGCAGCAGCCCTAAACTATAAGGTAAACTAGAGGTTATCATAAGGTAAAATCAATACCAAAAAGGTTGACCCAGGAGGCCAGGGTTTAGGGTCCAGAGATGTCAAGAGAGACTGGCTCTGAGCACAATCATCATGTATGTTAGGAGACACAGGGAGATACAGGAACAGCACAGAGTTAGGAGAAGACTCCATTACATGTCAATTTTAACTGAATAAGGCATTACAATACAAAGTGAACAGAGACACTGGAACATGGGAGTCCACAGATATTCAAACTCTTGAACAAAACACCATCAATCTTCCAGATTAAATATAGAATTCACACTCCCAGGCAAAGAACTTACAAGAACCTTACAAGGATGCAGATCTTATTCGCTGGTAAGCACCCTCACCATGCAAGATGAATTGAAGCACTCTGTGGAGAACTTACGAAAAGTGAAGATGGTAGAGTAAGACAATGTCACATTTAAACAGAAGGAGAATCATTAGCCAGGGTAAAGCAGAGGGGACAAGCAAAGAACTGCCCATGTGCTGATCTGTTTGATTCAACCAGGAGCGGAAACAGAGCAGCAGATCCAAAACAGATTGTGTGCAAACAGGATGGATCTCACAGCTCAGACCCTCACAGGCGCCACTTTGTGTTCAGTAATGTGTAGGGAGGCAACAGGTTTGGGATGGGATTGTGAATGCACTGAGCTGGGCATGAATTCATTTCTAGCTCAGTACTTTGCAATGATGCAGCATCCTACAAGTACCACCAAAAATGGGTGTTGGTAGCCCCCACACCTAATAGCCAGAAGACCCAGATCTCCACCAGCAGCATGTCAGGCACCATTTTGTACAGTGTGGCAAAGGCTATGTGTATGTGCTGAGCCAGGAGAAAACTCACTTGCACATCAGTGCACTGCATTAGTGCCACACCAAAAATAATACCAACTTTGGCACACTGGTATTTGGCACCTGCATTTGGAGACCCAGAAGAGGTTCCTGGTTCCTGGATTCGAATCCTTGCAGTCTTTTGGTCATCGGACAGAAGATCTTCTCTGTCGCTCTTCCTCTCTGTATATCTGACTTTGGAACAAAAATAAATAAATCTTTAAAAAAAAGAAAAAGAAGAAGAAGAAGAGACAGAGGCACAAGGAACATTACTGAAGACTCCCCCAGAAAGGAACACGAGCCTTTGCCAAGCTGAGAGTTAACTCAGGAACACAACAAAGAATGGGAATACAGAATTTAGAAAACCCACTATAAAGCTTCTTATCAACAAGGAGAAGCACATACAAGAGTTCAAGAAATTCAAGGAATATGTCACACAGGAAATAGCAACACTGAAACAAAATCAAGCCAAATTATTGGAAATGAAGGACACATTAGAGCAAATTAAAAATTGAGTGGAAATTTTTAATAGAATGAATGAGGCAGAAGACAAAATCTCAGAATTGGAAGATATTCCTTTTCACAATTTGGAAGCAATCAAACAGCTGGCAGTAGAATAGCTTCAAACTGAAAAAAAAGAAGTATTCAAGAATTAAGAGACACTATTTAAAAAAAGAGAGAAAGAGACACTAGTAAAAGGCCAAGTATAAGAGTTATGAGAGTCCTAGACAGTGCAGAAAGAGAAGCTGGGTTTCAAAATGGATCTAATGAAATAATAATTGGAAACTTCCCTAATCTAGAGAAAGAATTGGGAAACAACATTCAGGAAGGGCACAAAACTCTCAACAGGCTTGGTCAAAAGCTATCTTCACCATGACACATGGTAATCAAGCTCTCTTCTATTGAACATAAGGAAAAGATCCATAAATGTGCATGTGAAAAAACCAATTGACATAGAGAGGAATGTCAATTAGAATCACAGCACCTCTCACGGTAATCTCTGCAGCCCAGAAGAGAATGGAGCAAGATAGTCTAGATTCTAAAAGAAAAGTTATGTCAGCCCAGAATAACATACCCAGCAAAGCTTTCTTTGTCTTTGAAAAGGAAATAAACTTCTTCCACAGCAAAGAAAAGCTCAAAGAATATGCCCCTTCCAGACCTGCCCACAAACAATACTTAAAGATGTTCTCTTGAAAAGGAATAGAACCCACCAAAACCAAAGGCAAATGTGGAGAACATCTCAGTAAAATAACAACAGAAGACTAAATCAAACAATGAACAAACAATTGCTAAAATGACAGGACCAAGTTACCACCTATTCATATTAACCCTGAATGTAAATGGCTTAAACCCATCAATCAAACATCATAGACTGGTATATTGCATTAAAAAACAAAACCCATTTATTTGGTGCCCACAGGAGACACATCTCACCAACAAAGATCAATGGAAACTATATCATGGATTTTGTTGTTTTCCTTTTTATTTCATTTCTTCAAAACACTTTTTTTCTCAAATTCTTCAGTGACTCATAGGTCATACTGTAGCATCATTTTCTTCAAGAAGGCTTTTGATTTTCAGCAACACATTAGTCATTCAGTAACATGTTATTTAACTCCATGGTGTGGTTCATTTCTTTTTTCTTCCTGTTGTCGATTTTGTTTTGTGGCTTTTCATTTAAGGGGATGTATAGTAACTGTGTAATGGAGACTGTCATGTCCAGGTGTGAGGGTACAGTGCAGTATGCATCTGTACTTCCAGATCAAAGATGGACTCCCAATGAAACTGTTTACTATATCTTGACGATGGGATGCTGGACTTTTTGCCATTGACCATTCCTGCAATGATGGACTTATGACAGTTTATGAGGAACTTATTGTTGTACTAATATAAAGAATATCATTGGGTAGAGTGAGGGAATTGGGGATGGGGTAAGCAAAATCCCAGAACCTATGGAACTGTATCATAAAATATTAGTGATATAAAATGGCGGTGGGGGAAGTACCCTGCAGGTTCAGAACACTGGGCTCTATACCTGACTCTATGCTTTCCTCACTATCACCCAGGAAATTGAAGTCATGGTTTTGTGTTGTGCTTGCTGTGACTGTGGATAGATCATGGGCACATCTCATGGGAAGTTCACTGCACACCCCAGCTTAGTCCATACTACCTATGCATGTCCCTTTTCATCCTTAGAGATTCCCCTGATTGAGGAAGAAATACATGGTCATGCTATATATCTGTGCAATGAAGGTCAGATTGAAAAAGACTCCCTATAATTTTGTCCAGTAGTTCTATAAAATGGCTTTATTTTTCACCATTAACTGAGCCTCTACTGAACATTTGTGTACAAATTAAAATTAAGATATATTAAACATTTTAAAGTATTAAAATAGTAACTCATTGCTTGCATGACTGCATTTTTACAATCCTCACAACTTTTTATAAAGAAATACAAGATTCACCAGTCTCAAAGTTATTTCCCCTGAAGAAATAGAAGCCGAATTAGAAAACAGAAAGGATGAGACAGAGAAGGGAGGACAGAGAGGAAGGAAAGTTGAGAATGAAAGTGAACAGGGTGCAAGTTAATGAGAAGAGAAGAAAAGGAAGCATTTGACTTACTGATGACGATAATCCCAACACAACTTTTCATCATGACATTTTCTAGGTTGTCATGGATCCAAGTTCACTATATCATGATTTCTGCAAATACGTTGGATTGGCTGGATTCCATGTATGTATTTTGGTACTTCCTGGTTCAATATGAGGTTAAATAGGTGACCCCATTCTCAGACAAGGTGACATGCATGTGTGAGAATAAATACAGCAGGACTCTGCACCCTCCTTCACATTCCTACCCCTTCAACTCAGTCACTAACAAGCAAAGATCCGACAACAGCTGCTTACCATGAAGCTGGTTGTGGTCCTCGTGTTGGCAGCCCTCCCTCTCTACTGCCTTGCAGGTGAGTTATGGGCAGGGAGGTCAACATTGATTACAGCCATTGGTAACTGGAAATGTGAAGGTGACACTGTAATTCAGACTCAATATAAGGAACAGATGTAGTAGTAGTCCAAGGAATCACCAGGGTACCCCCGGAAGAGCAGCATTTTCATGGGCTTTGTCCCTGCCCTGAAGCTGTATGTTATGTTTGCTGACATCCAGTGTGCCTCACCATTGACATAATACGATGAAACCCAGGAGGAATCTCAGGATTAAGCATCAAAGTTGGGTACTTTAGAGGACCCAAGGAAGGGTTTCGTGGCATAACACCATGACTCTGTGCTCGCTGTTGAGTTTCCTATGTTAGGCACTCAAGGAAATTCCTCACTGCAAGAGGAACAGGGGACCTCTGAGAGAGAAGGCCCAGGCAACTGGGTGACCCAATGCACCACTTCTTCATTGATTTTTGTAGGTAGAGCACACAGGGTGGAAACCTAAACATAATTGTGATCACAATCATGTAAATAAACTATACCAGGGTCCATGAAGTGATCCACTCAAAATTCAAATCCTGACATCTTCCTTCTCCTCCACAAAATATAGACCACTGCAAGGAATTTCTGAACACTGCTCTGTGTGCTCATTGTTTATAAATTCCAAAGTTAACGTCCACACTGAGCACTGTTACCGAAGTGGTATATTAGTAACATTTCCATGACTTTACCTAAAACACTTACATTGTACTTACATAGTACTTACATTGGCAGTTGTTACATACCAAGCAAGGTTTATTTTGGTTCATGATTTTGAAGGTTCACAGTCTAAGATCCAGAAGTCATGTCGTTTCAGTGTTTGATGAGGATAGCAGAATGACGACCCAGGGAGGGCTTAGACACCAACTTGCATGTCCATGGGACTGTCTTAATTTTTGATTTATCTGCTCATTTGAAGCATAGAATTACAGACAGAAAAGATGCAAAAATAGAGAGAGGAGAGGAGAAAGAGACAGATCATCCATGGAAATTGCAACCTTGTACATTTAGCATAGGAAGATATATAGAAGATGGGTACTAGAACGAAGATGTTAAAAGTATGCTCTCCTATCAGGGCATAAGCTCATGTTATCATCCTTAATTCCCAGGTTCTGGATGCCAGCTTCTGGAGGACGTGCTTGCTAAGGGTGCCGATCCACAGACATCTGTGGAAGAATACGTAGATTTTATGAGTGAATTCCTTGATAACGACAAGGAGAGAGAAGTTGCAGAAGGGTTGAAGCAGTGTTTCCTCCGTCAGAGCAACGAGACTCTGGCCAATTTTATGGTCTTGGAGGTAATATCGATTTACTCATCTTTCATCCTGTAAATCTCTCACCTGGAACACAGGCTCTAAATGTATTATCAGTAACGACAGTCAGTGACTCTCCTATCCATTTATTCAATCAGCTAAGTTAATTTTGTCCTTAGCATCATATTCTGCTTCCCTTCAAATTTACAGTGAATGACCATTTTAAGAGGTCCAGCACATGGAAGAAACCTTTATAAATATGTTTTCTAATGCTCACCCAAGTCCAGGCACACAATGACTATTAAACACACATATGGTGATATGACACAGACCCTTTGACATGCACACCTTATTTCAATGAACAGAACACAATGTAATAAATGCCTGGTAGGAGAAATGCCCCCAAAATATTGAACTCTGATGAACATCTGTCAGTGTCTTCTGGGTGGCAGAATAAAGGGGAAAATGATGCCGATTTTGCCTTCACTGGTGATTTTTTCTTGTTGGATTTTAGGAAAATATAATTAAACTATAAGAAATTTTACTATTTAGATCATTGGATAGTGTTCAAAAACTAGGTCATATGTCTGATTTTGTTTTTGCAGAATGCGATATTTGACAGCCTGCTCTGTGCTCCTTTTTAACTGTCACAAGACCTATGGCTTGGTGGAATCCAGACTATGGTCCCCAACTTCCTGTAGACTGCCTGAAACCACAACCTTCTCTCTCTTTGATTAGAAATCTGCAAGACAATTGTTGAAACCTGAAGTGCGTTTAATTTCAATAAACTTACTGCAGCAAACAAGCTCCCTTTTCTTGCACCACAGGATGGCAAGGGTTCAGACGTCTCCTCTAACACCTGCTTGTTTGCAGATGAAAAAAATACAGTCAAGGAAGCAAGGATGTGGGGATGGACAGGTTGATTTCCTCTCCCTTTGATAGATTTCCTAAAACTGATTGCATTGATCTAATTGTCTTTCTGTGAGATGATCATGGGATGGATTGTGGCGGCAGTGGGCATGTTCCTTATTGTGGAGCAAACATCCATGTCTGTATGCACAAATCATTACTTTCATTCTCATTTGGATGGCTATATTCCACATCATCTGTATGAACCCCAATATTTCCAGCCTCAGTCAAGCCCTGTGTAGTTAATCACCTAGGCACTGCCGGGACACTACTCCCTTCCCTTGCTTGAGTGAGGTGGGAGCCGGACTGTCTTTCCAGACCTCTGGGGTCATAATGAGCTCACGGTCTCCTGGGCAAGCGTGTCCAGGTCACCTCAACTTATTTTCAAACAGTTGCATTTATGTTCTTCTAGACACACAGCTCCTTCACTAGTTTCTTTTTTTTTTTTTAAGATTTGTTTACTTTTATTGCAAAGTCAGATATACGGAGAGGAGGAGAGACAGAAAGGAAGATCTTCTGTCTGATGATTCACTCTCCAAGTGACCACAACGGCCGGTGCTACGTCAATCCTAAGCCAGGAGCCAGGAACTTCCTCCAGGTCTCCCACATGGTTGCAGGCTCCCAAAGCCTTGGGCTGTCCTCCACTGCTTTCTTAGGCCACAAGCAGGGAGCTGGATGGGAAGTGGGGTTGCTGGGATTAGAACTGGTGCCCATATAGGAACCCGGTATGTTTAACTTGAGGACTTCAGCAGCTAGGCCACCGCACCAGGTCCTCTACTAGTTTCTTGATGTCCTACCACAGAAGTTTCTCTCTGAATTTTTGGTTCATGTTTATAATTAAGATGGAAAGAAGTCTCCAGGGTTTCCTGGTATGCCTGTTTACCAACATTATGTCTTTGCCTTCTCTCAATGGAGTTGAATTTTTAACCTTGGTTAACTGTCCATAACAAATATAAAAAATCAAACTAGTTGAAAAGTGAGGTCAGCTGCTATTTTCCTCTAACTCGAAATCCCCAGGAATGAGGTAATTCAGCAATTTTTAAAATTTATTTATTTATTTATTCCTTCCTTTACTTAAAAGGGGAAGTTACTGAGGCAAAGAAAAAGAGAGAGAAATTCTATCTGCTGGTTTACTTCAAAATGGCCTCAGTGGTGTAGCTGAGCCAGTCCACACCATGATTCCAGATCTCCATCTGCGTCTCCCATGCTCGTACAAGGGCCTAAGCATTTGGGACATCTTTGCTGCTTTGCCAGGCATATTAGCAGAGAGCTGGATCAGAAGTGAGGCTGCTGGGACTCATACTGATGTCCATACGGGATGTGCACAATTGGAGGGTTAGTGTGGTACACCACAGTGCTGGACCTCAGCATTATGTCCAGGCACCTGCGTGATAAGGTGATGAGGGAAGGAAAGTTCTGGCTCAGATTGGGTGAGTCTGCAACAGAAACACTACCGGTCAGCTGTCGTTAAGGCAAAGGGTACCCAATGAAGTCTTATGAATATGCACTCCTGTAGCTACTGTATGGTTCCCAGTCCCTTTATCTCCTCATGTCATCTCCCCATTATAAGCATACACCTTAAGATCTGCGTTGACACATGAAACAAAGCAAAATAAAAATGTACAGACTCAAACATAAGCTCTGGTGCTCATTCAGGGATATAAGAGTTCACCCCTAGGTGATAAAGCAGGGATGTTTCAGCTCTTTTACATTTTATAAAATCTGGGTTAATTTTCTTTATTTTCAGATATGGTAATATTATGCTTGTGTTTTGCACTTATTGGCGATTATAAAACTGCTGTGATATCAATTGGCACATGATGGTTTAGATTAATGATGATAATGATAAGAAGTCTGTATGTTGTTCTTCAAATGGCCTTGTGATTTCTGTCTCCAAATTATTTTCCTAATCTTATAAAAACCTCTATACTATTTTTTTCCTTTCATTTTAACTCAGAAAGAAAGGAAACCACTTAATGTGAAGAAAGATTTTGTGGACAACATAACACTTTTGATTCTTGCACACTGATAGACTTAACAATTGAGCTTCTACTTTAAGCAAATCTTCCTTGCTAAGAGATTACATTCAATTTTATATCATTGAGGTTAGCATTAACGTGCTATATTAAGGTTTATGCTGTATGTTTCTCTTTTTACAATAGCTGTAACACCTAATGTGCTGTGGTAGTTTAATCCTCTCATGAATCATATACCATTTATACAAATCTATGAGTCATGTATTCTGCTTGTCACATTATTTTAATCTATGAAGCAATTGACATTGTAAGATAAGATATTTTGCTAACTCCTCCCATTGAGGATTAGAGCTGAACCTGGTGACAGGTATTCTGGTCCAAAGTTGGGATTCTCTCTTAACACAGAGTCAAAGGATACATAATAATTTGTAAACACTCAATCAGCACTTCATAATTCAAAATTAAGCATCCAACCACATTATTGTTTTATAGAGTTAGCCAAGAACAGAAATAATTAGAGAATAGTTGACAACCTTAGGATTCTAATTTATGTCTAGGAAAAAGACATATTCCTCCACAATTTACACTATATCCACGAGTAATATTTAATGACATTCTATTAAATGTTTTACATAGTTGTATTTCATGTATTTTAATATATTCTAGATTCATACTGCTACTATTGCTTATAGTGTCTTTTAATCCTCTCATCCATGCCATGGAATAGTCTGTGGCTCTTTGGCTCCTGCCATAGAAGACAGTTTCCTCTTAGATTTCCAAGTAACAGCTCAAAGCAAAACACAGCACTATGAACATGCTGGTGTCGCCTCTGTGAATCACTCACCTCGCAGATTCAAGGGTGAGCATCCTATGTAGTGATTGTGCTAAGATTCTTGTCCACTTCCTAGATATCAAATTTGTGGTAGAGATGGGATTTGGAACAGTTCACAATTCCAAAATCTTCCCATAAACTAAAAACATGAGTTCCAGTCAACTAGGTCTCATTTTTCACCTTTCCATATCTAGGAACTTTGACAATAACATTATTTCAGGAAATTTCAGGATGACACATAAAAGCACCCCTCCATGACTGGCACGGGAGCTACGATAGCAACAGACTATAGTGGGAGGTCTAGGCAGAATTCTGTACTCTGCCTTTAACTTGTGCGAATATGCACCCTCCTCAGTCATCTGTCTCCCTCGGGTTTCTAATAAAACTGTCATTGAAGATGCACTGCGTGGGGCTTCTCCTCAATATTCCCTTTAGCCCTTGTAACTTTTTACCCTTATCAGCAATGTAAAGATTGCCAAAATATAATTAAAAAAAAAAAGAAAGAAAATGCACTGCGATTACTAAGAGTTCTTGTGTAGACATGAAGACAGATCTGGTTTGTTCAAATATTTTTCACTACAAGAATATTTGTAAGTTAGCAAAGTAAATGATGCCTTAGAACAGAAACTGTTCAATAGTGAATGGGATGGGCCAGGCGCGATAACATAGTGGCTTAAGTCCTCCCCTTGAATACCCCGGGATCCCATATGGGTGCTGGTTCTATCCCGGCAGCTCCACTTCCCATCCAGCTCCCTGAATGTGGCCTGGGAAAGCAGTCGAGGATGGCTCAAAGCCTTGGGTCCCTGCACCTGCACGGGGATCCAGAAAGAAGCTTCTAGCTCCTGGCTTCAGATCGGCGCAGCACTGACCATTGTGGTCATTTGGGGAGTGAATCATCAGACGGAAGATGTTCCTCTCTGTCTCTTCTCCTCTCTCTACATCTGCCTTTCCAATCAAAATAAATAAATGTTTAAAAAAATAGTGAATGGGATGTGGTTCATGCTCTGGCAAATGTGAATTAGGATTCTGGAAGCAACATCTCATGATTTTCTTTAGGACAGTTATAGGGCAGGGTCACCTTTTTATTAATAAGAACTAAGGAAAGGATAGGACTAGCATGGAAACAGAGAAAACATAAAGTTACAGGAAAATAACAACACATAATCACAGTGAGATAAAAATAGTTTACAATGGAAATTAATTGCTAATGATACAGTTCTCTCACTGTTGCATAGTAAACATCTACACAATTGCAGGAGTTAACCATCTTTAGTAAGATGGAATTTTAATTTAAATGAAGCCTTGCTAATTTTAAGTGTTAAGCCTTTTCTATTAAAATATTCATATTAAAAAAACACATTAAAAAGTAAGAACAACAAAAGATCGCATCACTGGGTTGAGGGGGTATAAAAGTAATTTCATGGTGGATAACCAATGTTTTTCAGACAAAAATTAACTGCCTTCCTGATTGGACTGAGTAAATAACTGCTTCCAACAGACCAAAGCGACTGTAGCACAAGAATTCTCACATCAGCCTCGCCTGAGGCTTCCTCTTCTCCAAGGTGTGGAAGTCCACAAACGGGGGAATACAGATAAGAGGAACGTTTGGAACAGGAACAGATACAGGAACATTGAATTGAAACAACAAATTACTGCCAAAATGAAGAACATGTCTTTATAGATAGCTAATGAACCAAACCAATGCTCATACTGGTGTGAAGATTAAATATTTAAGTATACAAATCAGATAAGATCAAGTTATGCAAAGCTAAAATTCTTGTGAAGGTGTGAAGAAGAACTAATCATTGCCTGGCAACTGACCTTGGTTCTGTTACCTAACTTGGTCACACTCCTACTATAAGGTGAACTAGGGAGTATCATAAGATAAAACCATTACTGAAAAGGTTGCCTTAAGATGACCTAAGCTAAGCATGGCAACTCAGTGACTTCTCCTATTCACCTGCTTAGATCATCAAAGCCTTCCAAAACCTCAACCAGGAAGGATCATGGCGGCAAGAGCTTGGATGAAAGCACTTGGTTGTAGAGCATTTGTCATTTTTGTTTTTAAGGCTTTTTATGGAGATT